TGGGGGGGGGGGGGGGGGGGGGGGGTAGTACTTAATACAATAATAAAACGTTATCCTCTCGCATTCAATTCCATTCAATTCCACATTTTTGAGAGTAAAAGTGTGAAGATGTCTCTCGATGTGAAATGGCTCTGTGGTTAGAGTCTGAATCAGTTACTGAACACTTTGATTCAGAGTTAGAGGATGTTTCTGAGAGTCTGAATCAGTTACTGAACACTTTAAGGAACCCAATGTTACAGTTATTTATTTGTTGTATTTGTTTTCTGTTTTTCTATTGCACTACATTTCCCATGATGCTCCTCTCGTGTGTTCTGTGTAAAGGTCAAATAAAGCAGTTATTTTTTACCTTGTGTGTTGTAATTGCTCGGTGCCGCCTGCAGGGGGCGCTGCTCCCCTTCATCCCCTAGTATCCTACTGAAGTACAAGTGACCTACTACTTGATACAAAATATACAAAGAGAAAAGTAAATACTTGAATTTGATGCAAACCGAGGGTTGTGATCTGGAAGTAGAAATATGTGCATGTATATTATTTAGATCTGTTCATCTTGAGAATAAGTGATAACAAAGATCTAAATATACATCCTGAGTGAGTGGAGGACCTTTAACCGGAGTTAGACTCAAATAACCTCAGAGTCAGAAGCTTTACTCGTCCCACAGAGGAGACACTACCATCTGTTCCAGCTTCATGTTGACTGAGGAGCATAAAAACACATGAAATACTACAGCCTATAAAGAGTGTTAAAGGTCACCATGCTGTGTTTAGGCAATAGCATAGGTCTCAGATATATACACATATATAAAAACATGTCTATGAAGTGTTTTGCTCAAAAACCAAACAGATCACTCATTCTAGCCATGCCTCATATCCCTCTCTATTTCACTTCCTGTTTCAAAAGTGCTGATTTTTTGTATAAAGCTTTAAAAAAAAATTAAAAAAGAGGGGCGGAGCTTCTGCCTGCTCATGCGGGAGATTCTGCCGGCAGATGCTGCTGTGATGAAACGCCATATGGATTATCAAGCATTATTACATGGTTTAGTTGAATACTCGATTCTGATTGGTCGATTCTGAACACGTGACACGTTGTTAATCCAGAAGGGAAGACCGCTGTCAAGGATTTATTGACCGTTGTTAAGGACGCTCACATCTGCACAAAGAAGTCCGGTCGATTTCACTGAATACAGTTTGGCTGAAAAGTGACAAGACAAGAGGGAAAAGAAAACAGCGGAGAAGTAATGGGGCAGAAACCCTCCTTTTTACGCAGCGGTCCAGACATAGACATCAGGCGGCGACACATATTCAGTGTTCAGTTCCTTTGGCATCAGGGCAGGGGTATCTAGATCCTTCCCAAGGTTAATGTAAACACAGACCATCAGGGCGGACTGGGACTCAAATTCAGCCCCGGAAACTGACCCAGTCCGGCCACAGGAAATGTCACGGGGGGGGGGGGGGGGGGCATCAGAAAAAGAAATACAGTACTATTAGTTATTACTTCTCAGCTGTTTATTAGGCTGCATTTAAGCAGTTCAAGAAATAATATAAAAGAAATAAACAAGATTGTCTGAGGCGGTTTGTGAACCTAATGTTGGGGGATCAGCAGTTTCTTTAGGTTGCTTTTTTCTGCTCTCTGTCGATGACCAAGTCATTGTCGAGGGACATGAGGACGTCTTTTTCTGTTGACATAAGCATGAACGCTTCCAGGTGTTCTTGTGACTGTGTGCTCCTTATTCGGCTTTTGATGTGCTTGAGTACAGAGACACTTCTCTCACAAGCTACCTGTGTCCCAGGCAGAGTGAGGAGACGAGTGTATCCTAAACCAAGGAGCTGGTAGGCTTCTGTGAAGAGGTTGGAGCGTTTCAGAAGTCGGTAGCAACATATTGAGCTTCTGTCTCTTCTTCCTCACAACCAGAGCAAATTCTTACTCTGTACTCTTCAAGTGCAGACATTTGAAGCCGTGGCCACTGGGCTGCCAGACACTTCAACTCAGACTGCACATGTGCAGCAGTCGCCCTGCTGTCAAACCTAAGCAAGCATTTGCTTAGATCTTGAAAAGTAGAGTCAGGCAGAGCTTCTGCTGAACACACGTGAGGAAAGTTTCTTGGATCAAGGACGGCCATGAGCATACAGAGTGCCGTGGGTCATGAAGCGTCGTTTGATACTGTCTGTGACAGTATCCAGTGCCTGGTTATAGACCTCTACTTCATAGGCACTGCTTGCATCTATCAATCCCTCATCGCTTGCCATTTGGCCAGCCATCATCTTCCTGTTCCTGTTCCTCTTCAGTGGAAGGGTTGTTTCCAACTCAAGCTCACAGTCCTCTTCGGCCTCCAGTTTTGCATTTGCCCACTCAACAAAAGTATCAGCAGCTGTCTTCACTGTCATGAAATCTCTTGTCATGTTCATCAGTGCATGTTGAGTGCCCTGAACCATCCTGTGGGCAGACAGGAGATCTAGTCCACATGTCTGCAAGCATTTTGAAAGAGGTGTTGTCACTTCAAACATCCGAAGGAAAGGCTGGGCACCGTCTCGTACCTCAGGAGCGCCTCTAGGCATCCTCTCGCTCTGACACGCACTGCACTTTTCAAATGGGCCTGACTTTGAAATTCACTTAGTGTCATGAAGACATCAATGTACAGAGCCGGGTCTGGCTTTCCAAATGAGCCAAAGGTCTTCTTCAAGGCTACATCTTCAGCCCACCACCGTGTCTCTCCAATAGGGGAGAGAAACATCAGCAACCTCTTTTGCAATGGCCTCCTGGATTAGCCTCTGCACTGTGGAAAGGACGTTGTTTACAGTTGTTTTGGACAGGAATGTTACAGCAGAACCTCTAGTCTGTGAGTGTGACTGCTGCATCTTCTTACTTTTTTCTGTGAGATGTTCTTTCAGACACACATCATATTTTCCAAGAAGAATGATGAGCTCTAGAAACTTCCCATGGTCAATGTTGTCATCATCTAGTGTATGCTGCCTCATATTCCTTCCCTCTGTAGAGAGGACCTCTTTCCTACGCATTGACTACATCTACCACACGTTCCAACACCTGCCGTTTCTTCCTCACCTGATCTCTGTGGGCCACTACTTGTGATCCAGGTCGTAGGCTGGCTATGTCTGATTTGGATGCCCTCAAAAAGTATGGGCGTTCTATGCATGATGGTCCTTTCGTGTTCCTCTACTCTCTGACTGATATGGTTCCAAATGCTACACATACTGCACAATACAATGTGTGGTTCTCTTCACAGTATGTGAGCCATTTTCTATCTGTGCCGTTCATGCGTTTAAACAGTCTTTGTACTGTCAAATATTTAGTTTTGGTCTGAGGGTGATAGGGATAAAAACTATTGAGTAGAGATGTCCAGATCCGATCACGTGATCGGGGATCGGAGCCGATCACGTGATTTTCAAAAGATCGGAATCGGGAGAAATAAATCGGGGATCGGGAATATCTTTTTTTTTTTTTTTTTTTTTAATAAAATATTTTAATTATTTTATTTAATGTTACAAAACAAAAATGACCATGTTCACCTCTTCAAGTCATCCGGAGGCCTTAGTTTTGGTTTAAAATGACACAACATCATGTATGTGTTGCTTCTTTTGGGCTTGTTTTCATAGAGTTGCTTATTTCTCTCAAATCTGGCAACAGAGTGGGCGCAGTGTCTAATAGTAGCAGTAAGCTAACGAGAGGCTACGTTCAGCTGGTGCCTCGGGAGTCGGGACAGAGAAAATGTCAGGAGTTTGGAAGTATTATAAAATTGAAAGCGAAGGCAGTGTAACAGCCAGATGCAATGTTTGCAAGGCGGAGGTTCCGCGTGGTGGAAAGAACAGAGCTACGTTCAACACGACCAATCTAATACGCCACCTGAGAAACAAACACCAACAACAACACGAGGAGTACACAGCGGCCACTCAGGTAACGGCACTGAGACAACCGACACTTTCAGAGACTTTTAAAAGGAAAGAGAAAGCTGCCCCAGAACAGTGAAAAGGCCAAAAAAACAACAGCCAAGATAGCTGAATTCATCGCGTTGGATGACCAGCCGTTATCTGTGGTGGAGAACGGGACAACTTGAATGCTTTTCTCCTTTTTTTTCTCTTAATGCATTGCATAAAGATCGGATCGGGAAAAATCAGTATCGGCAGATTGTCAAAATCAAATGATCGGAATCGGATCGGGAGCAAAAAAAGATGATCGGGACATCCCTACTATTGAGACTGTGATTGTCGGAATTTGGGCGTTGAAAATCCCTCAGGCTTGAGCTGCCGTGTGAGTGGCTGTCATCCTCAGTCCCTTGTTCCATCCTCAACCTAGACAATTATAAATTCATGTTCAAAATAATGTTAATTATTTTTATAATACTATACTACTTGAATTAATACTTAATAAATGTTGACAAGTAATACACTTTTGTTTGATCTATACATTTTTTAATATTAGATATTACACCTACTCTCATGTAACAATTGTTTTATTAGTTTTATTGCTTTCATGAGCAACACACTAACTGGAAACACTAGGTTGAATATACATGTCTTCTCTAGAGTACTTACCACCTCTTGCTCTTGCCCTGCTCTTGTATGTGCCAGTTGAGCTGCTTCTTCCCCCAGCTCCACTCTCTGTCCCTCATCATGAACGCAGGAGGCTGGCTGCATATCTCAACTCAGACCCTCATCATCCTCTTCATCATCTTGCACTTGCTCTAAGCTGCTGCTGATAGTGCTTGTAGCAGCGCTGCCAAAAAGGTCTGTCAATTTGCGACCGGCCGTTCTGTGGTTCTCCAGATTCTCCAGATGGCCAGTCCGCGCCTGCCGACCATATTACGTCGGGCATTGTTTCTGATAGCAACTTTCTGATGGTGCTGTGGGTCCACATTTCAGATATTACGTCATATCGGACGCAAATCTGGATCAGCTCCTCTGTTTTTAGAGATGTGGGTACGGAGGAAAAGAGAGAGGGGTTTATTTTCTGACACTTTGGGAGTCTCCTGACACACCGGGGACACACT